CATATACTTAGGATGATTGTAGTCTGTAACTTCACCAAACACCGTAAAGCCTCTAATTTGAGCATGACTTTCAATCAATTGAATRCCAATCAACAACAATTCTTCGCTGTTCGCTACGAAATCTGTCGCAAACGCTCGTATTAAAAACTCAAATGTATATGTGAAGGAMGGGGCACTAAATAGAGTGTTTGATCCMTTTTCACCTTCATCAGTATGACGGKGTAGTAAGATTTTATTAATGTTAARKAAAATACTTTTGATGATCTCGTTCATATCATTTGTTATCCATTCATTTGGTAGATCTAACCGTGGGTTTTCTAGACGTAAAGTCATTATAGCAATATCTCTGCCCAATTCGAAACTATCTTCAAAGCATGCTTCTCGTAATTTGAAATAAAGTTYTGCCAACGATTCTCCTGCGATTGGACATGAAAGTAACTTTAATAGTTGCATTAATAACTTATGAAAATGTAATGAAACTGCTTTAGGATTTCCTGCGAATGCCGCCTCTAACATAGATATGGCACTTTTTAATTTTTTGTTAAGAAGGCCAACACGTTCTTTTGTATAATTTTCTTTCTCAATTTGATTTTTAATAGCCTCTTGCTGTTTCTGTGAAAGTTCTGATAGGTTTGCTTTGCCCTTATATCGTTTTTTCTCACTTTCACTACTGATTGTTTTTTCATTTTGATGTTTGTTTTCTCGCCCGTTTCCTTCATTTTTAACAGCTTTATCATCGGGCATCTCTTGTTTTGATGTTAAATATATGTAGTATTCCTCTTCAGTAATATTACTACTTTCAACACTTAGTAAATCCGTAATAATTTTTTGCATTAGTATTGGTAATAATTTCCCAGGACTTAGTCGAATAATTGTAGAAATTGAGTTTTCATAGGTTTTTTTCAATTGAAATTTATCAATTATTATATTTGTAATGTCTTTAGCATTAACCGAAACAAATATTTCTGGATCAAAATTTAACTTGCTTTTTAAAATGGTTTCCCACAAAACTGAGTTGTTACAAAACACTCCAGGGTGATGGCATATAAGTAGAGCCTGCAAAGCTAGTTTTTTAGCTTCACCAGGAATTTGTTGAAAATTGCATATACTTTGCATTATTTCTACTAAAATATTTGAAGTAGCAAGATTTTCTTCATGATAACCATCATAATCGGTACTGAATTTAATATTGTCTAACTGATTTTCTAGTTCGACCATAATATTATTAATATAATCTACACCCTCGATTGCATTCATCAATCTTGGGAGTAAACTCAGAGTATATGTTCTCAGCTTTTCGGAATTTGAAATCAAATTATAAACTATAGCCTTGAATAAAACACTCAATGAACCTTTAAGTTTATCAGAGTATTGCGTTAATAATTTTTCAGCCATCAATGATACGTAGCATAATGTTTCAGGGGGTGCAGCTGCCATGAATCGTTCGGAAAAAAATATCAGCTTATTCACGTCAAATACAGTGTTCCAAAAACTTCCAAATAAGGGATCATTAGTTATTGTAATTGTTTGTATAATGATGCAAGTAGCGCAAACCGATTCACATACAAGTGAAATTTGTAGAGGACTTTGTAATCCTTTCTCTACTATTTTTATAAGTAGGGGTGTCAAATTGAGATCATGGTGTAATTTTGCATTGTTAAGACCAGCTAGAAACCATTGAAGATATGATATTCTTACTGTTTGCGTAGTCGTTTTTAGATCCAACCCCCTTTTAAAAATATCGATGATTGATTTTGGTAATTCACCAATAAATTTTAACATCCACAAGCTAAACATATCCAAGGTGCAGCAAATAACCCTTTCTTGAATTTCAGTCTGTAACGCCTTCGAAAAAAGTTCCATAGCGAGATGTAATACAATTGGTGTTTCCYTGTCAGAAATTCCATTGCAACTTAAGTATCCTGCACCCTACAAAGAAATATTTTTTTAAGAAGGATATAGTTATTAAAAGTGTTTAAAGAAATTATAAAAACAGTGTGTAATAAATGAAATAAAAAAACAAGAAAAAACGTTAACATCGACTGTACCGAAGCTAAATACCCTTCACAGGCGCATTTCTTTTAGTAACTATGTGTTCAGTTTGTATGGATGCTATACGCTATAGTAATCCGATCTGAACAATTTTTAGGAGATTATATTATTACCTTAAGCAGTAATACATGTCAAATTTCGTAAAGATACCACGTCAAATGCAAAAGTTTTCCCTTGATTCCGATACTTCGGTTTGTATAGTAGCTATATGCTATAGTGAGCCGATCTGAACAATTTCTGCCGATATTACATTATTTCTATGAACAATAACTCATACCAAATTTCGTGAAGATATATCGTCAAATGAGAAGTTTCCCCTGCAAGCATTTGATTCCGATCGTTCAGTTTGAGTGGTAGCTATATGCTATAGTAAGCCGATCTGAACAATTTCTTCGGAAATCACATTGTTGCCTTAGAAAATAATCTATACCAAATGTCATGAAGATACATTGTCAAATCTGAAAGTTTTCCATACAAGAACTTGATTCCGATCGTTCAGTTTGTAGGGCAGCTATATGTTATAGTAGTCCGATATCGGCAGTTTCGACAAATGAGCAGCTTCTTGAAGAGAAAATTGCAAAATTTCAAAACGATATCTTGAAAAAAGAATGACTAGTTCGTATATATACAGACGGACAGACAGACATGCGGACATGGCTAAATCGAATCAGCTCAACATATTGATCATTTATATATATACTTTATAGGTTCTCCGACCCTTCCTTCTGGGTGTTACAAACTTCCTGACAAACTTAATATTCCCTGTTCAGGGTATAAAAACTAAGAATTCAATAACATGTAAAAGAAATTGTATATTGATTTAGTAAACAATATTATTTTTTTAATATATACAAATTTCTCTGCGCCAACTACCGTGAGATAAGCTTCCTCAACATCGCGTATAAGGTTCTATCAAGCGTATTGTGTGAAAGATTAAAGCCCACCGTCAACAAACTGATTGAACCTTATCAGTGTGGCTTTAAACCTGGCAAATCAACAACCCACCAGATATTCACCATGCGCCAAATTTTGAAAAAGACCCTTGAAAGGAGAATTGACACATACCACCTCTTCGTCGAATTCAAAGCTGCTTTCGACAGAAACTGCCTTTATGCCGCGATGTCTGAATTTGAAATCCCCGCAAAACTAACACGGCTGTGTAAACTGACGACGAGCAACACCAAAAGCTCCGTCAGATTTGGGAAAGACCTCTCCGAGCTGTTCGATACCAAACGAGGTTTCAGACAAGGCGACACCCTATCGTGCGACTTCTTAATCTGCTGCTGGAGAAAATTATTCGAGCTGCAGAGCTTAATCGAGCAGGTACAATCTTTTATACGAGTGTAGAGCTGCCGACGTATGCCGATGATACTGATATCAAACTCTATAAATCACTCATTATTCCCGTTCTGTTATATGGTGCAGAGGCATGGACGATGACAACAACTGATGAGTCGACGTTAGCAGGTTTCAAGAAGAAAGGTTCTACGAAAGATTTATGGTCTTTTGCGCGTTGCCCAGGGCGAATATCGGATTCGATGGAACGACATGGACATAGTTCAGCGAATAAAAAGACAGCGGCTACGCGGGTTAGGCCATGTTGTCCGAATAGAAAAAAATACTCGAGCTCTGAAAGTATTCGACGCAGTACCCGCCGAGGGAAGAAGAGAAAGAAGAAGACCTCCACTCCGTTGGAAGGCCCAAGTGTAGAAGGAAGGAAGGGCTTTGCTTGGAATATCCAATTGGCGCCACGTAGGGAAAAGAAGAAACGACTTGCTCGCTCTTGTTAACTCAGCTATAAACGCGTAAGCAACTCCAATAAAGAAGAAGAAGCTATGAGAGCAGAGCTAATTAAAATTTGCATGTGCTACCAAGAAGATCTGTGATCAGCGATGAGACCGATTTCTGCTTGTAAATAAGCAAAGTTGTTGCATTTAGAATGAATAACAACCTGAAGAGATTCAAGAGGTGCCATTTGATCTAGAAAAAGCAATGGTTTGGTGTTGTTTGAGGGCCAGTGAAATCATCGCTCCATATTTCATCAAAAATGATACTGGTGAAAACGTAACCATCAATGGCGACCGTTATCGTGCCATGATAACCGACTATTTGACGACGCCACTACCCACTTTACTTCAATCAATGGATTTATTGAAAGAACACTTCGGTGAGCATATAATTTCACGTTTTGGACCGGACGGTTGGCCACCAAGGTCATGTGGTTTCACACCGTGGGAATATGTAAAGTCTAAAGTCTATGCGGTCAATGTCGTGTGTCATTCGCCAATTACCATAAGGAATGCTCGAAAGAGTAACCTAAGCCAACATTTAAAAAATGTTTTGGGTCGTTATCCTGTTCAAATTACCTTTTTATAAATATTAACATAACCTTTCAATTGGGTTACATACTCTATTCAGTCCACCATGGCATAAATAAAATGAATGAGCCCATAATCTAAGTAAAACATATTTAATAGTTTTAGAAGTGTACCCAAAATGATAATGAACTTACATACTTTTTGTACCTTGTTTCTTAAAAATAATCCACTTTGCTTTCATAAGTCCACAGCATATTCCGCCATTTTGTAATTGCAATGTTCTTTCGCGCCACCTTAGTCTTCTACGATTTGTAAAAGCAACAACTACAAAATCATTTTTTTACGATGCTTGATTTTACATATCGTATAACCTCTGTCTTTTAATATTGTCTTTTTTTAATTTTTCCCCACGATTTTCGACATTATCATTGTAATTATACCCTGAACAGGGTATATTAAGTTTGTCACGAAGTTTGTAATACCCAGGAGRAAGCGTCGGAGACACTATAAAGTATATATATAAATCATCAGTATGTTGTGCTGAGTCTATTTAGTCATGTCCATCTGTCTGTCTGTATATATACAAACTAGTGACTCAGTTTTTAAGATATCGTTTTGAAACTTTGCAAACGTCATTTTCTCATCAAGAAGCTGCTCATTTGTCGRAACTGGCGATATCGGACCACTACAAAATATAGCTGCTATACAAACTGAACGATCAATTGACAATGTATCTTCACAAAAGTTGGCGCAGGTTATTTTCTAAGATAATTATGTAATCTCCGAAGAAATTGTTCAGAAGGGTTAATTATAGCATATAGCTGCCATGCAAACTGAATGATCGGAATCGAATGTTTGAATGGAAAACTTCCTCATTTAACGATATATCTTCACGAAATTTGGTATGAGTTATTGTTTATAAAAATAAATTGTTCAGATCGGATCACTATAGCATATAGTTGCCGTTGTCGTATTTGGTGTCATTACTACATATACATAGTTACTAAAAGAAATACACCTGTGAATGGTATATTAACTTTGGTGCAACCGAAGGTAACATTTCTTCTTGTTTTTAAAATTGTACCTCAGTCAAATAATGATATAAGCAAAATTGGTTTTATCTATATCTGTTATGAAATATTGTAAATCTGGCATCACTATACTTCTTATTCCTTTTTTGTTGTTCTTATGTATATTACATTCAATAAAGTCAGTCGTCACCTAAAATTGAGCCTGCGTGCACGTAACTCTGTTCAACAGGTTATGGGCCTATTGCTCAACAAGTTATTTGCCTATTGCTAAAAGTATAGTTATTTGAATCTAATTTTTATTTAAACGAAAATTAAAAACCTTCGCGGACGTGAAAGTTTCGATTATTGGAAGCGGAATGCAAAGTCGTATTTGGTTCTAAAAAGTTGCTGGAAAATAACGGAGAACGGTTTATCCGAAAATTCAACGGAAAAAGATCGCGAAGCAATGAACGGGCACTGGCGGAGATTACGCTCATGGTGGAGCCGAGTAATTTTTTGCATATTGCAAACGCATTGACTGCAAAGGATGCACGGGATTCGTTAATGGCCGCGTATGAAGACAGTAGTTTAATTCGCAAGGTAGAACTTTTAAAGAAGCTGGTGCAGTTAAAGCTGAAACAGTTTCAATCCGTACAGGATTGTGTGAACGAGATGGTCATGACGTCAATCAAGTTACAAAATGCAGGTCTGGACGTTGGTGATGAGCTGGTGGCATCATTATTGCTTGCTGGGTTGCCTAATGAGTATCAATCACTCGTTATGGCTGTGGAGAATTCGAAAGCGAAAGTAACCGTCGATAGCGTTAAAAGTTTGTTGTTGCAAGATGTCAAATTCGCCTGTAGCAAAGATCCTACTGACCACGCTTTGTATTCAAAGAATTTCCAACAGAAAAGAAACGACAAAAGTTCTAAGCGGAAAAAGTTTCGTCGTTGTTTTAATTGTGTCCAGGAAGGCCATATGCGTAAAGAGTGTCGCAAGTCTCTGCAATCAAAGAGAGTAAATGAGAATGAAGGTAAGAACGCTATTAGCGAAATCGTGTTGAAGAGCGGCGAAAACGAATATTCGAAATGTCGAATATGTTCCCAGTCTTTGCGCAAATCTTTCGTCGGTTCCGCAAATATCAAAACAAGAACATAAAGGTGATGTTCGAAGGGAATATATGTAAAATCCTTGATGCGAAAAACAGATTAATTGCAAAAGCGTATGCAGAAAATGGTTTGTACAAATTAGATTGTGCTAAAATTCCAGCTGAACTGTGGCATCGAAGGTTAGGACACATTGCAAAACAGCATGAAACAGGTGCAGAATTCAACGCTTGGAGTTAATTACAACGGAGCAAGTGAAAAAGAATGCATTATATGTTGTAAGTGTAAACAAACTAAAATAACAACTAAATCAGCTGGTACTCGTGCTAAAAATTGTTTGGACGTTGTACATTCGGACGTGCTTGGACCAATTAGCACAAAATTATTCAGCGGTGCACGATTTTTGTTGGTGTTTGTTGGTGATTTTTCAAGAATGGTATTCG